TACTACTGTACAAAGCAAGTGGATCTGAGCAGTGCAAAGGGTGGACTTTAGTGGATTTTGTGGTATGCTGCACAGATACTATCTTTAGGACCCAAAGATTCATTTTCTTCAACTGCCAAGAGGGTCTTTGCTCTTGGGTTATATCCGGGCACGCCCCCCACCCCAGGAATTGCCTTAAGTGGAAGAGAACTTTAGTTTTTGTTCCCTCTCTGGGGCAGCAGTATTCATTGGCAGCTTAATTTGGGGAGTACAAAGGCCTGAACTCTTGCCTCGATCTGGTACATCTCTGAAGAACATGCCTGGTTTAGACTCTCCATGGGATTGTCTGAGGTCTCTGTTCCATCTACATTACAGTTCAGCTTCTCTCTCTGCCCAGTCCTGCTCCCTTCTCTTCTGTGGTCAGCAGAATAATGGCCTTTCAGAGATGTGTACATCTACTCCCCAAACCTGTAAATATGTTATCTCACATAGCAAAAGGAACTTTGCAGATGCGATTAAGTTAAATATCTGGAGATAATCTTTGGTGGGTCAAATGTAATCACAAGAGTCCTTACAGAGGAAATTAGGAGGTCAGAGAAGAGAGAAGATGCTATGTTGCTGGTTTTGAAGTTGAAGAGAGAGGCCATGACTCAAAGAATGTAGGTGGCCTCTAGAAGATGAAAGTCAAGAAAACAAATTATCCTTAAGAACCCCAGAAGGAATGCAGCCCTGCCAACCCATTTTGAACTTCTGATGTCTAAACTGTAAGATGACAAACTGTGCTGTTACGCCACTAAGTTTGTGGTAATTTGTTACATCAACAATAGAAAACTAACACCTTCTCTTACAGATATTGTTTGGGAAAGCACTCTCTAAAAAACTTCCAGCATGTACATCTTTGTTCAGAGTCTGTACCCCAAAGAATACCCCGCTTGTAGACAGATTTGATTAGGATAGAGTCTTGTAGGGGATCAAATCAACTTCATGGACAAGAGTCTTAAAACTGGACAATAACCCAAATATGACCGTCCCCACTGAGTTTGGGGGTAATCTGTTATGCAGTAATAGTAACCAGTACAGGAATCCAGCCCAGAACACATTCTCTTCATTGCAAGCCTGTCTCTGAAAACTGTGGATCTTAGAGCAAGAGTCCAAATAGTGGCCCACACACCATATGCCTAAATATTTAAGATTATAAGTAAGTGAGCAAATTGTTAAATGAAATATATTCTATCCTCCTATCCTAAAAATATATTCATGATGAAAAATTAGAAAGTTCGCCAAATAGAAAACAACTGAATTTTTGTTATACACATCTGTTGACCGGCTGGTGATGTTTGGATGAGTAACTTTCAAATTGTAGAAAGTTACACAGCTGCTATGTGCCACTGTTGCAAATACTGCCCTGATTCCAAAGTGTCTCCTGCGTCAGGAATTGGAATATGAAAAAAAGAAAAAAAAGAAGAAAGAAGACAGCAATCAGGAATGACTTGGCATGCAATAGAATCTATTTTATACAAGACCATCCTGCAGCAAAGTTTTGTTAAGTGAATTAATTTCTCTTTTCACCTGAGAAATTCTCCCATTCAGATTCTCCAGCACTCTAAAGCAGTGTTCCCCATGGACACTGAAACATCACAAACCTTTACTGAATTCAGACATGCTTCCCTTTGATTGAGAACATACGGCAAGCAAGGTGGGGAGGCATTTCCCTTGGGCCTGGACAGTGTTACCTGTCAGAGTAGATACTTAGGGTTAGGGATGGTGTCATGTCAGTGCTGAATGCCAGATTCCTTATCTTATGCATGGTTTAATAAAAATTTGGATGACTGTGCTTATGACACTCGGAGCCCCTTAAAGTATGGGACAAGGGTGGGGGTCCTTTTCGCTGTAAAGGCATTGCCTCTTCATTTTTCCATGATGTAGAGATAGGTATCTGCGAAACAATGGTAGGAATCTAACTATGCAATTTTACCACCTCCAACCCTTACACCCTCAACGACAGAGAACAATGATGAGGCTGCAAACCTACTGTTTAGTGATTCACATTCAGCCATTGTATACATTCATTCATTCATGTGTCAGATGCTGTTCTAGGCACAGCAATGAGTGAAGCAGGGTTCCTACTCTCCCAGAGTTCACATTCTAATGGGAAAAGGTCAAAGATCAACACATAAACTAATAAGTAAGATAATTTAGCGTAGAAATAAGTCCTATGAAGGAAATAATGCATGAAATGGGATGGGGGCAGGCAACTTTAGCTAAGCGGTCAGGGAAGAACTCTCTAGGGGTGACATCTGGGCTGAGATCCAGGATGAGAGTAGGAGGCAATAATGCAAACATCAGGCAGATTAGCTAACTGGATTTCCTGTTATCAGAGGGTTATGAAGAACCACTTTTTAAAATGGCTATTTAATTAAAAAATTTTTTTTTATTTAAGTATAGTTGGTATACAATATAGTATCAGTTTCAGATATACAAACTAGTAATTCGACATTTGTATACCTTATGATGTGATCGCCATACGAAGTCTAATAACTATCTGTGCAGTTATCACAGTATTATTGACTGTATTTCCCTTCACCTTTTTCATCCATCCTCCTAATCCCGACTGTAAATGGTGCAGCCATTATGAAAAACAGTATGGAGATTCCTGAAAAAAACTAAAAATTGAACTGCCATATGATCCAGCAATTCCACTTCTGGGTATTTAACTGAAGAAAAAAAACGCACTAATTTAAAAAGATATATGCACCCCTATGTTCATTGCAGCATTATTGACAATAGCCAAAATATGGAAGCAAACTAGGTGTCCATCGATAGATGAATGGATGAAAAATGTGTGGTACATATATACAATAGACTATTACTTATCAATAAAAAACACATTTTAAACTTCAATACTTGATGAACATCTTTCTCAAGTACTTTGGGCCACTTTCTTGATGCAGTCTATAATTTAACAAAAATTAAATCTTTCTTATTTCTGGATCTTCCCTCACCTCTATGATTAGGGCACAGAATACAGATGTAGAATATATTGTGATTAGACCAAATCTAACCTGAATCCAGAATATACCCAACAAAACATATCACCTTAATAGAATTTTTATATCAGCTACTTTTCTGCTTCTTTTTCGAACTGCAGTAAAGTAATAAAAAATTAAAAATCTTTCAGATTTCTCTAACTGATGTCAATAGATTTTAATAGAAAAGACTTAATTTATCTAGGTAAGTTTTTTAAAAGCTAAATCAACAAAGAATGTGATTCTCGGAAAATTTAGTCTTATACACGTCATGAGATTTTTAATTAATGAATACTTGAAGTTGTAAATTCTTAGTCAATGTACCTCATTGACTGAAACAGAGCAATACTTTAACTTTTTTCAGTTTAAAAAAGGCAATTTACCAGTTTGCTTTAAGAGAAATATGATGACTAATTTGGGATTTTTAAATAAGCTCTAAATATTTTATTCATAAATAGAAGAAATCTAAGAATTGTTTTTGTTTCCACTATTTTCCAATTATAATAATCATTAGATTTTATTATTAGTAGTAATTATAGCAACATTTATTGTTATGTCTGCCAGACGATATACAAAGTGATTTATATGCATCATTTCACGTAATTGTCAGAAGACCCTGCATGGATTGGTAGAGGGTATTATTAATAATATCTATTTTATATTTGAAAACATAAGTACAAGTTAAGCACCTCTCCAAAGTAACAGAGTGGGAAATGGTGGAACCAGGAATGGAATCTGAGAATTCTGACTTCAGAGTCAACTTAATGCTTGAGATTACGACAGTACTTTTCTGGATATTTCGGACTGTTTTGTTATGCTTTATAATGTCATAATTACATTCTTATTTTCATAATTAATCTGAAATTAATTTAATTCTTGGAGTTTTAAAGTAATTTTAACTTCAGAAATTCAGCATAATCAAAATTTTTTTGTAAAATGAAACTTTATTCTAAAATGTATCTCAAATTGCAAGACATGATACCATTGAAACAGGTAAATGTATGTGTATAGAGAACAGTGAAATGAAAAGAATATAATTTCAGCCTTTTTAAGAAGTCTTCATCAATAAAACCCAACGTAAAGATTTTTTTGTTTCAAAACAATTTAAATTATATACATGAACTCTAGCATAATTCTAAAAACATAGTCAAAGTAAAATACAAAACTACACAAAATTGAATTCAAGTATAAAAACAACACATATATGTACATTTGTTGAGTCTGTGCAGATGTAGAGTGCATCAAATTAATTGCAGTCTAATCCAGGACAAACTGTACAACCAAGTAAAAAAAAATGTTCACAACAAATCATAGAGTGATGAACGAAGATTTCATAAAATGACTGTCAAAGGATTTATTTCCAAAATCTCCTGTATGATATGGCAACTGTCTCCTTTTCTTCTTTCCTGCCTCCAAAGTATATCAGGTTCTGTCAAGTCTGATGCTGACCACTGCATGGCTTATTAAGACTTTGGGCATTTTAATGAAGACATTTTCATTAAATTTGCTTTCCTGTGACATTTTTTCATCAGTATGTCTTCTAAATTCATGTTCTAAACAAATATTTCAGTTACTATAATCTCATTACTACATCAGTGTATATTATGGTAACTTCCTCCCCTCAAGTGGATATTTAGAGTTCTCTTCAAATGAATGAAAACATGTAATACACAATCTCTACCAGAACAAGATGACTTCATAAAAATATATTTTTATGCTTTAATACTTCAGTTCTTGAAATGTTATCACTTAATCACCAAGTCAGAGTTTTAGAGCTTAGACGTAATAAAAGTTCAGAATGTAGTTGAGGGGACAGAGTTAGTCCTATAGAGATGTAGGCATATTTTTACAATTCTTGTTAAATATGTGAATGGGCTTAATGCTTGGGCAGAGGACATATTCAGTCATTTCACTTCCGACTCTCGACACCTCTTACTTGCTTCTTTCTTTAGGAACCTGAAGTTATCTAAGATGATTGATATTAATTATTAGACTTTTCTTGGCATTTTCTCTTTCTCTCCTTCCTTCCTTCCTTCCTTCCTTCCTTCCTTCCTTCCTTACTTCCTTCCTTCCTTCCTTCTTTCCTTCTTTCCTTCTTTCCCTTCCTTCCTTCCTTCCGTTCTTCCTTCCTTCCTTCTCATTCTTTGTTTCTTCTTTTTCTTCTCTCTTTTTAAATTTTTATAATAGTTTATTTAAGCCAAACTGACAACATATGCAAGGGAGCAAGATCTCAAATGCTGTCTCTGGCATTTTCAATGAGCATTGACTGTTAACATAGGAAACTGAACTCAAAAATAGTGGTAAATTTTCAGAAAAATCAGGTCTCCAAACTTGCTCTATTATTAGGAAAAAAAAAGATTTAAAAACTATTTTTCAGATTGTTTCTTTACATTACTATTCAGATTATTTCTCTATATTACCTTACATCAGTACAATTTTCTATTTATAGGATATCACCTCAACATTAACAATGTTAGATATTGCATTATTATTGCTATCATCAAAATGTAGTAACATTAAGAAGAGATATTTTATCATTGTTACTTCCTTGAGAAGTTTATGGTGTTTAGACATTTTTCAAATCAATATTCTTATTTTAGAGCTGAATAAACAGGTTCAGAGAGAACATAAATCAACTGTTCAGAGTCATATATATGGTGACAGCGAGATTATAACCCACATTTTCTGTCTGCCAGTATTGTGGTCTGTCATTCTGTGACACGATTTAAACTGCTTCTAATAAGAGGTCATTTGTTTCTTAAGTTTTTAATAATAAAAAATACCACAATAAGCAAAAGTAACAAAACTTTAAAGGTCAATATCTGAGGTACTTTTTTGTTTTTGCTAGAGGTTATACATATTCCTTATTAAGAATATAGCTCCATTTTTCTGTTTGGGATGAGTCAAATTTTTATGTTTTGTTTCATTTAAATGTAAAACCTGAAACCATAACACTCCTGGAAGAAGACATAAGAGAAAAAGCTCCTTGACATTGGTCTTGGCAATGATTTTTTGTTATGACACTGGTAACAAAAGCAAAATAACTGAGCTTATATCAAACTAAAGAGCTTCTGCACAGCGAAAGAAATAATCAACAAAATGAAAAAGCATCCTATAGAATGGGAGACATTATTTTTCAAACCATAGATCTGATAGGGGTTGATACCTGAAATATAAAAGAACTCCTACAACTCAATAGCAAACAAACAAAAACCTGATAACCTGATTAAAAAATGGGTAAAAGACCTGAATAAACATGTTTCCAAAGACAAGTGGCCAATAGGTATATGAAAAGGTGCTCAACATTATTGATCATCAGAGAAATACAAATCAAAACTACAATGAGATAGTAGGATCATTTGGGATGACACCTATGAAAAAATAAAAGGTAAGTTTTGGAAAGGATGTGGAGAGAAGGGAACCCTTGTACACTGTTGGTGGGAATGTAAATTGTAAGAGCTATTATGCAAAGCAGTAATTAAGTTCCTTCAAAAATTAATAGTAGAACTACCACATGGTCCAGCTATCCCACTTCTGGGTTTTTATCCAAAAGAATTGAAATCAGGATCTCAAAGAGATACTTGCATTCTCCTGTTCACTCCAGCATTATTCACAACAGCCAAGCTATGGAAACAACCTATGTGTCTATCTACCAGAAGAATAGATAGGAAAATGTGGTATTTTCATATAATGTACCATAATTTCACCTGAAAAAAGAAGGAAATCCTACTATTTGCGACAACATGGGTGAACCTGGAGGACATTATATTAAGTGAAATTA